GGTAATCGACTTCCAAGCGCTCTAAGAGAAGAGAGTTTTATAGATAAGTATATAATAAGAATTGTAATAGGAACAGGAATACAAGTCATTCAGACTATTGGGAAATACTCTGAACATCACATGCAAAGAAACCATGCCAGGAAGTTATCAGGCTGGATTGTGGTTAACCAAGAGAGGATGTTGTTTGCGCAGAATATACGTCGTCAATTGTCCCTACAACAAAACTATAGGTTAGTTGCAGACAAAAACATTTGTCGTCCAACATAAAAGAAACTGACTGATCGCACATGCAGGGGGCATAATAGAACCCTTAAACAGTGAACAAGCCACTACCTAAACATGTTAAAGATTCGTATAAATACGTAGAGCTTATTTGCGACTAGAATTAGAGCTTGTTAGAGCAAACAGACCATGTATTATTAAGGCTTTTAAACAGCAAATATACTCCTTTAAACTAATAAGTTGCAAAGATCATAAATATTATTTGCGATTTTTATAGGCCGCGGCTCATAGTTTAGAATCGAGGTTCGTCTTTATTATAAGCCGTACGTATAATAATTTTATATTTAGGAAAATTGGTACATTCCTTGAAGGTCTACGTCCTATTTTCGCTTGTATAAATACCCATAATAAGTATGGAAAGGAAAAGGCTACATGGTTAACAAAAAGTGAAAAATATAAAAGGCAAAAGCGGAGAATTTATTCAATGGTCGAAACGAGTTATCCCGAAATTTACAAGACAAGATCATTGCATCACATCATATTTATAACCAACATGACTGTTGCTATATAACAGTTATCATAGTTGCAAATACATTATGAAAACAATAATAACACATCTATGATTAGTAATGATAATAATACATGTGCAATGTTGGTATCTGATCGACCAATCAAGAAGCAGGTATAGGTGGGGAGAGTTTTTTAAAAAAAAATTTAAAAAGCCCAGTTTTTTGAGGCTGAAAGTTAATATACTTTGCAGATGGCTGCCAAACAGGGTTTAATTGTGTTTATATCGTAAACGAGTTCGGTGACCCCCATTTTTTTGACATGAAATATTTACGCTTTACATGCTTTATCTATAAAAACGTTTTAAAAAATTTTTACGAAAATTTTGGGGAAATTTTTAATAAGCCAAAATAACGTTTTTAATAAACAGACTTGACGGAATTTTAAAAACTTTTTAGAGATAAAGCATCTATAGTGTAAATGTTTATTGCAAAAAAAAATTGGGGTCACTGAACTCGTTTGAGATATAAACACCATTAAACCCTGTTTTGCAGCCATTGCAAAACGTCTCTGTTGCCATAATAATGGGTGTCAGAGAAAATTTCTGAATAGATTTTCGATTTAGATATATTTCCTGCAAAGTATATTATTAACTTTTAGCCTTCTAGCAAAGCATTTAGATGCCTAATAGCTCTGTTTAAAATATGAATAAAAAAAAATTGACGAACTGTATCAAGCTAAACTAAATTAATTACATATAATTACAATAGAATATAATTAAATCACATATAATTATGGAGGATCAATAATTAAGCAATCCAAAGAACAATTCTTGTGAATATTATTATTTGGGATATACATACATGCTTTGGTTATAAACAGTGAAGGCTTAAATAAATCTTTGAATCGAGAAGTTTATCCAGTAATTATACGCAATTTAAGCTTGTTCCAGGTCAATGGCGTCGCCAGCATCGATAAGTGGGGTGGACATATTCATATATTCATGTTGACAGACCGATAAAACAATCAATTTGAAAAGAAATGAATAATGTAAAAAACGAATATATAAATAAGTTCCCCACACTTATCAAGCTAGCGACGCCACTGGGCCAGGTGGCAGAGACAATCCAACCTCGTTCCCAGGGCCTTTTACCTTGATTCTGGTGGTGATTTCCTCTTCTTTCTCATAAAGTCCCAAAAGACCTGGGAACGAGGTTGAGAGACCCTGGAAGAGGTCATACTTGTGCTCTCAATTAAAAGTGTGTAAGGGGTTATATGCATTACCTTGTTTCGTGAGTAAGAAAACAATTTTAGAGCTACAAATACGACTGAAAATGCGCACTTTTGTAATTTTTTCATTGGAGGTCTTTTATTGGTTATCAAAAAATGGCTAAAAGAGCGTCACATATTTTCGGACAGTCCCAGTCTCGTTGTAACCGCAGTTTCATTAAACGCTGCCTTCTAATGATGCAAATAACGCAAAGATAACAATTTTGTTCATGCTAATATAGAAAAAGTATAATTATGATGCAGAAAGGTAATAATCTAGAAATTCATATTTGAATATAAGAATTTAAACGACTGTGCGTAGAGCGTATGAATTCAGAAGGCGGGGGTCGAACTCCGAGCAGATTTGTTGTGACTCATGACAAACAGATTTATTATTGTAAATTACCAACATGTTACCATATGATTGTTACGACTACGTAAAAAAATATTTGTTGCTTTTATTTTCGCTCTGTAAGTACCTTTTGCAAAGCACATTTATATTCACGATCTTTTGTTTCTGTGCGTGACTTTAGAGGGAAAAAGATTATTTAATTTAACATAGCCTCATAGAGTAATAAGTTTCAAAGTCCGTATTTGAGACAAAAATATGAAGATTGCGCCAAATGCCAAAAGGAATAACATGCAGTTGCGCCGAATACCACAGTTATGCAAAATACCATGGACATCTATTTTCAGCTTGGCATTTGGGACAATAAAATTGATGCAGTAGTTTTAAAAGCAAAAACGGATTTTCACAACGAATAAACACAAAGTAGATATTGGTTACACACAGTTTTACATTTTAAGACGGTATCAGACACTACAGAACTAAAATTTAAGAAAAAAATCAAATTTACATGATTGTGCTAAATGCCAACAATCTATAGATATAGATAGATAGATAGATAGATGATAGATAGATAGATAGATAGATAGATAGATAGATAGAGTAGATAGATAGATAGATAGATAGATAGATAGATAGATAGATAGATAGATAGATAGATAGATAGATAGATAGATTAGATAGATAGATAGATAGATAGATAGATAGATAGATAGATAGATGATAGATAGATAGATAGATAGATAGATAGATAGATAGATAGATAGATAGATAGATAGATAGATAGATAGATAGATAGATAGATAGATAGATAGATAGTAGATAGATAGATAGATAGATAGATAGATAGATAGATAGATAGATAGATAGATAGATAGATAGTAGATAGATAGATAGATAGATAGATAGATAGATAGATAGATAGATAGATAGATAGATAGATAGATAGATAGATAGATAGATAGATAGATAGATAGATAGATAGATAGATAGATAGATAGATAGTAGATAGATAGATAATAGATAGATAGATAGATAGATAGATAGATAGATAGATAGATAGATAGATAGATAGATAGATAGATAGATAGATAGATAGCTAGCTAGCTAGCTAGCTAGCTAGAAGAATTGGGCCTTTTGTAACCTCCTTATGGAGCTTTGGTAACCTTCATATGGAGCTTTTGTAACTTATGTGGTCCTTTCGTAACCTATGTGGTCCTTTCGTAACCTTCAGTGAATGGCGCTTTTGTACCTTACTATGGACCTTTTGTAACTTACATGTGGCGCTTTTGTAACCTTCATATGGCGCTTTTGTAACCTTCATATGGCACTTTTGTATCATGGTCAGAAAATATATTTGATTTAGTCTGAAGGAGACTTACGAGTTTAGACCTTTAAAAAACTGCAGAAAACTTATGGTTTATTTTGTTTTACTCCAGAGGACATTTTCCGATGTGTTCGCAAACTGTATATTTCACAAATGGCATGTCCTTGTACACACTTTGTGTATGATTAGCCATTTCCAAATCGAGCAGGGTACCGGGTCTAATCGCAAACTGCAAAGCATCTATGGACCATTTGGAGGGACAGGAAATGAAGTCTGATATCATTTGTCCCTCCAAACAGTTCATAGATGCTTTGCGACTAGACCCAGTACCCTGCTCAATTGGGACATTGCTAATGCAAATGTGTTCTTTTAAATTAAGTGTGTACCGTAAGAGTAAAAGTAAGTAAAAGTTTCACTTATGAACCACGTGTATTTTAGATATTTCCCATGTAAACCATATACAAATGTTGTCAGCAATTTTGAAATCAACCTGATATGAGGTTAATCCAGGCTGAAATCACTGTGTTAAAAAGCAATTAGATGGCAAGAAATGCCATTGATTTCAAAATGAATATAATAAAAGATGAAATTGCCGATTCCCTCGTGGCTGCAGGTAATGTCATTGCCTGTCTTCGCCATTTATTCGAAGAAATATGACAGCTTAAACAAAGATTATAATTATCACAAATTTAGAAAAATTTTAATGGAAATTCAAATAAAGATATCTATTTTAATTACATTCAACGGTTTGGAAATTGTCATAGCTAAAATATAATTTCCACAAGTGTTCCAACTCTAATTTATAATATGCAGATCTACATTGAGGACGTTTAATGCGTTCAAATGCAATGCTAAACTGTATCAAAAGAGAAGCTTTGAAAATTGAAGACACCTACTTCCATATCTACTTGGAAAGTATAATCGAAACGACCAAGACTTAAAAATACAATAATTCAGTTCAAAATCAACAAAAGTGCGTCATATAGACACGAGACAAGAAGTAAAACCTAAGCTTGCGCATACCTTAAGCTTCATTTTAACGCCTTAACGACCTCAATGTCCTTAATTTAAACTGTGTAATTTATGTACACACAATACTGTACATAAAAGTGTTCAAGTCTCAAAAGTTTGTCCATATCTTTTTCCTAATTTGCAATTTTAACTATGAAGTTTACTTAACGTTTTTTGCCAATCTATGTTTTCTTCGTTCATATTTTATTCTATTGACTAAGGCAATAGGCGTTGACTTTTGCAACAAACTACGTCCATCACGGCTGCCAGAACATCTCTTTTCAACTTCAACTTTGGAAATTATCACGGTTTTCCGAATCATATCCTCAAACAATTTTTGTATGGTTTGGACTTCGTCACAATTGAAGAGGCTATTCCTTTCTGTAGGGGCAATGATGCTTGTGGATAACTGGTCATCGTTGGTTCCTGATTCTTCTGCATGCTTTTGCACATCTTCCATACGATCCAATCTTCCAAAGAATCGTGCTCTTGTGGTAGCTCCATGACAGGAACAAGTTCACCTAAATTTTTCTTGCCCTCTTTCTTTAACTTGTCGTAAATTCGCCTTGGTGACATGCCACAAAGCTCTTCATGTGTTTCGACACCATGACGAACAACATCCAGGGTTACGTTATTCTTCAATATATCCTTCTGGAATATTTTCTTAATTTTGGCAACGTCGTCGTCAGTCCAAGGAGCTCTTTTACTTTCACTCTCGGATGATTCGCATGGGGAAGACTTTCCCTTACCATCAACAGCCATTGTTTCCTCTACTGTAGTGGCGGTCTCGAGAATATCTCCACCTCCATCGTCGGTTCGCATCAGCCGTCCAAGGTTTCGCGAAGCTTCTATGGACGTTTTCGACTTCTCTGTCAGAAGATAATACTTCTTTGCGGTCGCTTCGTTGTGAGCCATAAGGCTAGCTAATTTCCCACTCATTTCTGGCTTGTCGATGTGTACTTTGGTTACTGCTGCCTTACGAAACGAGGTGCAAGTTATTTTAACGTCCACTCCAGCCTTTTTAAACACAGATTGTACTGCCTTAGTGATGTGCCCAGAATTCATACCATTTCCATTCCAGGATAAGAATACTGGACCGTTGATTCGGGTTGTAACATGGGCTCGCATCACACCAACAAATACCGACATCCACGACTTCAGCTTTTCGCTCAATACGACACGAGCTGGTCCATGAACATGCGCCGTTTTATGTTTCTTCACTGTTATTAGATAATGGTCATCTTGTTTTCGGATGTTAGTAAATTCCTCCATCGTCATATGAGCTAAGACACCTGGTCGATTGGCATTATCTATGAATATTTGGGTAAATAGGAAATCCCTGACAAGGGTGTAACTGGATTGGGTAACAGGGGTCGACTCGGCTGAATCAGAGTATTGTCCAATTATCTTAATAGCCTCTCGAGCTGCCGCACTTTTCTCCAGCTTCCTGATATTTGAAGGCGTCAAACGGTTAAGCATATCTTCCTCAAGCTTTTGCCATTTTCTTGTGTTAGACTCTCTCTTGTATGACGCAGACCACATCTTTACCTTTTCCCGCGCAGAGCTTACGTCCACCCAATTGAATTTGATGCTTTCCGGTTTGTCAGACAGCACAAACGAAAAGAAATGCCGCAGACTCATGAGGTACGACTTGATTGTGCCAGCTTCGTACTTTTTCTGCTTCACATGCACATTTAGAAAAACTTGACGGATTAACTTCAGGTCAAATAGGGACTGAATGTTCTCTGAATCATCGATGGCTTTTAGCAGGATATACAGCTGAGAACCATGTTGCATGACCGTTTTTTCATCTTTTTTGCTGCCATCAGGAGACGCCAACCACTCTTGAAACTCCGTGATTACAGGTGGTAATGTTGATTTTGTCTGCTGTTTCACATCTTCCATGCTGCTGCTTTCATCTTCGTCATCGTCATCGCCATCGTCATCATTAAAACTACCATCATCATTATCATCATCATCATCATCATCATCATCATTATGGTCGTCATCATCATCATTATGGTCGTCATCATCATCATGGTCATAACGTCCACGCTTATTTTCACCAATAACCTCTTTATTTTCATCCTGTTCTTCTTCATCTTCTTCTTCTTGTTCCTTGCGATGTTGGTGGCTTCGATCCACTTCCCATGTCTTCCTCTTTAACTGTTCTTCTTGCCACTTAATCATGGCATGCTTACGATTTGGAGCAACGGGAGCATCTACAATTGCACGTTGGTACATCGTCGATGCTTTATCTAACTTGTGCACCTTTTGCAAGTGCTTTGGTAAACGTCGAACAATCGAGTGGCAATCATCAATGGGACACTTGCGACGGCAACGATAATCTTTTTTCTTCGGTTCTTTGGTGAGTCGCTGTCTGATATTGTATTTAATAGCACTTTCGAAGCAGCTTCCTTCGTCCAGTGATGCACATTTCGCATATGTCTTGGGAGATGCACGACCTTGGCATTACACATTACCAAGGGACACGAAATTTTTCTTCTCTGGGGTGCAGTAACATTTTGCTCACCAGATGATTTCCTCTGCTTATGACTTTCAACTGAAAGGTCTTCTTGTAATGACTTGCTTGAATGCCCTTGTTCACTTTCCTCATGGACATGTGCATCTTTTGACGGGGCCCAACTTTCATCACTTGACTCACCACAACTTTCGCTTTCACAAGATTCTACAGTTTTCTGAAAAGTACATACATATACAGGGTATATAAATTGCACTCTAAAAAAGTTTGAAATGAGTCGCTAGCAAGTAACAACGAATCAGATAAAATTGTCCTTTGTTGCGAACCTGGTTTTCACTGGAACAGTCTTCCATTTCTGTTGCCCTGTTCGATGTTGTCTGCAACATTTCTTCATTTATCAGCATATCAATGCTGTCAAGGTGTTCTTCTATTTCACATTGTTTTGTCTACAGAATGAATAAAAGTAGAATTTACTTGTTTCTTAATCAAGATGGTACATTACTTATCCTGGCATGTATTTCTACAACAATACAAAAAACTGGTATAAAATACTATATTTCATAACTTACTTCATCTGCTGGCAAAGTAAACTCATATTGAACAGTTCTGTCAATTTTTGTATCCTTAAAATCAACCTTCCACTTTCCATTAAAACTCTAAAAAATCATAAAATTGATTTTGTATAAACTTATGGAGTTTGCTAATTAATTGCAACAGATGATAATCTTTGTCCCTCTCCCCTCTTTAGAAGCAATCTTGGCACTTAAAAGACCTGTCATGCAACAAAATTTCAACTTTATTTCTACGAACATCGTTGATAAGGGGTTAGGGTTGGCACATTTAACGTACATATTACCTGCATGATTAAAAAAGTGTCATAATCATTGCAGGTGATTTTATTCCTTAAAAAATCTATCATTATAATTAGCACTACAATGTGACATAAAACAAGAATACTTACACCAACGATATCTTGAATTTCGGAAAAAACTGCCAGAATATGAGGCGCATTCTTTGCATTTTTCCCATATGTAAAACTATCCCTAAGGATTCTAATCGGTTTTTTCCCCTTTCTTTCCATTTTATGTACTATAAGAAGAAATACATCATATAAAAATTAGAGCTACACATTCCATAGTTACAGTTAAAAAACTTGTCTCACTGAACAAAACAGCTAAATTAATTAGATTCCCTAAGTTGCCAGGTGAAAACTCCCTGTAACAAATAACCATATCACATAAAAATGAAGTAGAGTAATGTTAATGCACCCTGAATTAAGTTCTATAAAAAACTAAGCATGTAGGAAAATTATATAGAGCTACAAATTAGTTTAAACTAGTGTTTTATGTTGAAAAACAAATACTTAAACAATGAAAAAACACATCTAGCCCCCTTAAGTAGCTAAGAAGAGAATATCAATGCACCCTGAATAAGGTTCTATATAAAACTAAGCATGTAGGAACATTATTTAGAGCTACACATTAGTTTAAACTGGTGATTTGTGTTTGAAAACAAATAATTAAACTATGAAAAAACACATCTAGCCCCCTTAAGTAGCTAAAAAGAGTTCAGGCACACATGAAACTTCTGTAACTTATAAAGTGAAAAGAAACAAGTATTTTCTGGGCTAATCATTGATATAAGCCAACTGGTTCCATAGTTACAGTTAAAAAACGTGTCTCACTGAACAAAACAGCTAAATTAATTAGATTCCGTACGTTGCCAGGTGAAAACTCTCTGTAACAAGTAAACCCTTAAACATTTGACATAAAAATGAAGTAGAGTAATATTAATTCACCATGAATTAAGTTCTATATAAAACTAAGCATGTAGGAACATTATTTAGAGCTATACATTAGTTTAAAGTATTGTTTTGTGTTTGAAAACAAATAATTAAACTATGAAAAAACACATCAAGCCCCCTTAAGTAGCTAAGAAGAGTTCAGGCACACATGAAACTTCTGTAACTTATAAAGTGAAACAAGGCAAGTATTTTGCTGGGCTAATCATTGATATAAGCCAACTGGTTCCATAGTTACAGTTAAAAAACCTGTCTCACTGAACAAAACAGCTAAATTAATTAGATTCCGTACGTTGCCAGGTGAAAACTCTCTGTAACAAGTAAACCCCTTAACCATATGACATAAAAATGAAGTAGAGTAATATCAATGCACCCTGAATTAAGTTCTATATAAAACTAAGCATGTAGGAACATTATTTAGAGCTACACATTAGTTTAAACTGGTGATTTGTGTTTGAAAACAAATAATTAAACTATGAAAAAACACATCTAGCCCCCTTAAGTAGCTAAAAAGAGTTCAGGCACACATGAAACTTCTGTAACTTATAAAGTGAAACAAGGCAAATATTTTGCTGGGCTAATCATTGATATAAGCCAACTGGTTCCATAGTTACAGTTAAAAAACCTGTCCCACTGAACAAAACAGCTAAATTAATTAGATTCCGTACGTTGCCAGGTGAAAACCCTCTGTAACAAGTAAACCCCTTAACCATATGACATAAAAATGAAGTAGAGTAATATTAATGCACCCTGAATTAAGTTCTATATAAAACTAAGCATGTAGGAACATTATTTAGAGCTATACATTAGTTTAAAGTAGTGTTTGGTGTTTGAAAACAAATAATTAAACTATGAAAAAACACATCTAGCCCCCTTAAGTAGCTAAGAAGAGTTCAGGCACACATGAAACTTCTGTAACTTCTAAAGTGAAACAAGAAAAGTATTTTGCTGGGCTAATGATTGATATAAGCCAACTGGTTCCATAGTTACAGTTAAAAAACATGTCTCACTGTACAAAACAGCTAAATTAATTAGATTCCGTACGTTGCCGGGTGAAAACCCTCTGTAACAAGTAAACCCCCTAACCATATGACATAAAAATGAAGTAGAGTAATATTAATGCACCCTGAATTAAGTTCTATATAAAACTAAGCATGTAGAAACATTATCTAGAGCTATACATTAGTTTAAAGTAGTGTTTTGTGTTTGAAAACAAATAATTAAACTATGAAAAAACACATCTAGCCCCCTTAAGTAGCTAAGAAGAGTTCAGGCACACATGAAACTTCTGTAACTTATAAAGTGAAACAAGACAAGTATTTTGCTAGGCTAATCATTGATATAAACCAACTGGTTCTATAGTTACAGTTAAAAAACCTGTATCACTGAACAAAACAGCTAAATTAATTAGATTCCGTACGTTGCCAGGTGAAAACTCTCTGTAACAAGTAAACCCCTTAACCATATGACATAAAAATGAAGTAGAGTAATATTAATGCACCCTGAATTAAGTTATATATAAAACTAAGCATGTAGGAGCATTATTTAGAGCTATACATTAGCTTAAAATAGTGTTTTGTGATTGAAAACAAATAAGTAAACTATGAAAAAACACATCTAGCCCCCTTAAGGAAGTAATAACAGTTCAGGCACACATGAAACTTCTGTAACTTATAAAGTGAAAAGAGACAAGTATTTTGCTGGGCTAATCATTGATATAAGCCAACTGGTTCCATAGTTACAGTTAAAAAACGTGTCTCACTGAACAAAACAGCTAAATTAATTAGATTCCGTATGTTGCCAGGTGAAAACTCTTTGTAACAAGTAAACCCCTTAACCATATGACATAAAAATGAAGTAGAGTAATATTAATTCACCATGAATTAAGTTCTATATAAAACTAAGCATGTAGGAACATTAATTAGAGCTATACATTAGTTGAAAGTATTGTTTTGTGTTTGAAAACAAATAATTAAACTATGAAAAAACACATCAAGCCCTCTTAAGTAGCTAAGAAGAGTTCAGGCACACATGAAACTTCTGTAACTTATAAAGTAAAACAAGGCAAGTATTTTGCTGGGCTAATCATTGATATAAGCCAACTGGTTCCATAGTTACAGTTAAAAAACATGTCTTACTGAACAAAACAGCTAAATTAATTAGCTTCCCTAAGTTGCCAGGTGAAAACTCTCTGTAACAAGTAAACCCCTTAACCATATGACATAAAAATGAAGTAGAGTAATATTAATTCACCATGAATCAAGTTCTATATAAAACTAAGCATGTAGGAACATTATTTAGAGCTATACATTAGCTTAAAATAGTGTTTTGTGATTGAAAACAAATAAGTAAACTATGAAAAAACACATCAAGCCCCCTTAAGTAAGTAATAACAGTTCAGGCACACATGAAACTTCTGTAACTTATAAAGTGAAAAGAGACAAGTATTTTGCTGGGCTAATCATTGATATAAGCCAACTGGTTCCATAGTTACAGTTAAAAAACGTGTCTCACTGAACAAAACAGCTAAATTAATTAGATTCCGTACGTTGCCAGGTGAAAACTCTCTGTAACAAGTAAACCCTTAAACATTTGACATAAAAATGAAGTAGAGTAATATTAATTCACCATGAATTAAGTTCTATATAAAACTAAGCATGTAGAAACATTATTTAGAGCTATACATTAGTTTAAAGTATTGTTTTGTGTTTGAAAACAAATAATTAAACTATGAAAAAACACATCAAGCCCCCTTAAGTAGCTAAGAAGAGTTCAGGCACACATGAAACTTCTGTAACTTATAAAGTGAAACAAGACAAGTATTTTGCTGGGCTAATCATTGATATAAGCCAACTGGTTCCATAGTTACAGTTAAAAAACCTGTCTCACTGAACAAAACAGCTAAATTAATTAGATTCCGTACGTTGCCAGGTGAAAACTCTCTGTAACAAGTAAACCCCTTAACCATATGACATAAAAATGAAGTAGAGTAATATCAATGCACCCTGAATTAAGTTCTATATAAAACTAAGCATGTAGGAACATTATTTAGAGCTACACATTAGTTTAAACTGGTGATTTGTGTTTGAAAACAAATAATTAAAC